AAAGTATTCTTGTGTTGAGGGAGTACTTGAGTGGAGGCCCAATGTCCTTCTGCTACCTTAATACCAAACCTATAAATGTAGGCTCATAGATCTGTTTCCCCATCCTCATATATTTGTATATGTACATGTCTTTATCTAAAGCTCTATAAATACCCTTTGCCTCCCAGCTCTTTCCTCTATTTCCATTGACTCTCCTCCTGTCCCACTATCATGCAAGCCAGACGTTTTGACACATTCCCTATACCATTTCAAAACTCCGAAATACATGGAACAGATTTTAAAAACTAGCCTGTGGATTACTCTTTTAAGATTTCTGGCCATGACTCAATGTGGTTCCACTGAAGATAAAGATTTGTGTGTGCTTGCATATGCATGTGCACTACCTGTGCCTACCCCCTTCATCTTTACAGATGAACTAAACATTATTTAGTAAGAGGAACTAAAGAATGTCATATTACTCCTTAGTACACTAAAGACATCATTATGCTACACTGAAACAACACCAACTTACATTTGTAGTAAGTTTGCTTACCTAAAATGTACAATGTAGTATTTAATGTGCAATTTAATGAGGACAAGCACACACTCACAAGTGTTAATAGTAGCTTAAAGTGTTATCAGCAAAATATATATTGTATGTTAGACACTAGCTGTGGTTACAGAGAAGTGAAGACATGGTATATTTGGTTCTAATGAACCACAGAACAACTTCCCAATATAATAACAATTGCTTTAAACTATTACTCCAATTCAAAAATAAAATAGTTCACTTAAAAACAGCAGTTAGAGATAGCAATCACTTTAGAAATTGATTTTAAAAGAGTAGTTATTTGAAGATTCAAGAGTGTGCTATATGAAGTATTATCCCTGGATCATTCCTCCACTATGAGAGTGAACATCTGGCTCAAGATGGATTGATTGATTCTTAAGATAACATAGCGAAAGTTAAGTACTCTTGGCTAAAAAAGACCTTTATCATAGCTTCTCACTCATTTTAGGGGGGGTGGCATTTGTGGATACAGTAGAATTTTGGGAAAAAATAAAGTTTTAACTGTAGAATATACTTAACAGTTTTGTCTGCCTGAAATCCCATCTGCCTCGTTTTAGTCAGTGTGGCTTGGGAGAGCTGATCCCAGAACCCCAGGTCCTGAAATGGCTAGAAAACTAGGTCTAGCTAGAGCAGTAGTACGAGTGAGTCCAGGGGCAGACAGGTGATTTAGGCCAGGCCAATGAGAAGCATTCTTAGGTTAACTGTTGGAGTTGAGTGCTCTCTTTCTGATGAGTTTGTCAAATTATTATATAAAAGCTGCTGTTGGCCATCTTTGTCACTATTTCTGATACGTGTTTGAGTAAATGAATATGCACACGCTTGAAGTCAAACTTGTTTCCTCAATTATAATTTATGAATACTATTTACTAAGCTTCTACTGGTGTTAAATTACAAACATTATTTCATCTAACCACTGTATGAAAGTCATCAACACTAAAAAATATTTAAACTAAGTGTTACAAAAAATACGCAGGGGCACATTCATTTACTCTGGCAAGATATATAAAACTACAGAAATCACTAAGAAATGGGGCTGGAAAAATTGACAAAAAATATAACTAGTTCAGTAATTAAAATAAAATCACCCACCTAATTTACAGTAACAATTAAAAAAAATAAAGCAAGTAATTAAGAGTTAAAAACAGTATCCATGAAAACTTACTTCATCATATTCATATTCATCAAGGTTAAATGCGTTGAAATTAAGAAAGCCATACTGCATTGCCTAAAATCCAAAAAGAAGCTTTTAACAAAAATGCAAATAAGGACACAATTTAAGATCCATATTTCTTAATACTAACTTCAGGAGACAAACCAGAAAAGTATCACAGTATTTAGATTACTTTTCATTGGACAGTTTCAAAGCGAGTGAGCTGGAAAATAAGTTATTATGTGGGAATATTTACTTTAATGAGATCAGATTTTCTATTTTCATTCCATCAATCATCCTATCCACACATTCCTAAATAATCATACCTTTAGTGAACTCCTACTAAATAATTAGATCAACACCATTCATGTGTTTGTTTCAGAACTTAAGCTTGAAATACAGATACAGCCTAACACTCTCTAAATAAAGAAGAAAGAGGAAAGAAATCACTTGCAAGTTTATCCCCAACAACCTCATGCTTTATAAATATCATTAAAAATAATTTTGAAGCAATGCCTTGAGCCCTGGTGACACTGTCAGGTTAAGCATTCGACTGCTAATCACAAGGTCAGTAGTTATAACCCACTGGCAGTTCCATGAAAATTGAACATTCGGTGTAATACCTGACTCAAGCAAACCAAGAAACAACAATTAGCACTAAACACTGATAGGAACTGGTAGGAGTAGACCATTTCCAAGGCCCCTAGTTTATCTTTTTTTTTCTCCCCCTTAGAGCCGTAGGATGGAGAGAAATCCTAAAATGAGTGTACATGCTCTGGGATTAATTTGGCCAGAACTGCAATTGTAACTGGAAGTTGCCATTTAAACCAAATGTCCCTCTTGTCTCTATGTTTTCACCTCTATCCAGATCTGTCTAAGCTGAGACTTAACTGAGGCAAGTCAGAGTTTGTGACAACAACCTTACATTACTGGACTCAAATAAAAAAGAGAAACTACATTCCCAGACCGTATTGCCTCATACAGGAAAATGGTATAGTAGTCTCTGAACTCATATACTAGCTAGTCCTTCTCACTTTAAGACAAAATTTCTGACAAAATAATCAAGTTTCACTATAAAAGAAAATAAACATGCATTCCTTTTGCCTCTAAAAAGTAAAAAAGTCACAGAAAGATGTTGTTGAAAGTTTACTTGATCCATTGACTACCATTTTAATTTCTTGTGTTACACAGCATTCAAGAACAATACCTGAGAACAAGTGTTATGACAAATGTCATGTGCATTATAAACTACAGGAGATTCATTCATTTAGAATATGGTGTGAAAGAGGTACCCTGGAGTTAAGACAATAACCCTGGTTGTAACACAAAACCACACCAAACATTGTATAGACAGAGTAGAACTTCCCTATAGGGTTTAAAAAGCTGTAGATTTGTTACAGAAGACCATAACCACATCTCTCTCCTACAAGTGACTGGTGGGTTCAAATCACCAACCTTTTAGTAGCTGGATGCTTTGTCCACTGTACCCCTAGGGCTTCTTGCAAGGAATTATTTTAAAATAGCTTTGAAAAAGTAATAACCAACAGCATAGTTGTATATAAAACCTCTATCAACCTAACAGGCTTTTCAAATTGTTCCATCCAACTAGAAATCGTGGGCTTGAAAGTTACTTTTGTTATTAAAAATGTCTGTTGTAAATATTATCTGTGGGAATCAGACCCTTAAGTACATAAAATCAAAGAAAATAAAAGGCAGCAATAGTTCCTCTTTTTTCCCTTTAAAATCATGATTCACTTAAAACCAACTCTGATTCAGAGCCTAATTACATTGTATTGCCTCTTATTCCCATCTATTTTTTTGTCTCCTTCCCCCTGCTCCCCAATCCATGCTGAAAAGCACTCAGAAACTTGGACTAAATCGTTTTCTGATTTGGTACAGCTGGGGAATATATGGTAACTCTGACAACCATACACTTCTTGGAAGAGATCTCAATAAACAGATCTTTGAGGGAAGAAGATCTAGCCTTCCTTGGCTGCACTTTTGTTCTCCAACTCAACAATGAGCTACAAGTCACCTACCTTCTTTACTGCACGGAAACAATCGAGAAGTGTAATGTAGAAACTGCAACTTCCATAGGCAGCATCTCTGAAATTAAAACGTACTGAAATTAATTACTCAGTTGGTTTTTTAGGGAAAACTGATTAGAATCGAAAATTAAGCACATAGCAAGAATCATTTCAAAACAAACAATAAGAACTCTGTTTTCACACAAAGTGCATGTCACATAAATGTCACTGCAGTTTCCCCTACTGTAGTATGTAGCTTTATGGATATGAATTAATGACTACTTTCTAAATTTCAAATGATCTCTTCGGGATAATTTTTGGCTTCAAAAGTTACTTCGTAGAGTCAATGAAATAATAGTATTTACCTCTCCCCACAAAAGTGTTAAGGTACCATATTTGGATTTCTTTTTCTTGACGCTGGAAAATACCCTACCCAACTGTTAACAGGAAACATTACTTTTTGATTCTGTTAGTGTGCATGTATTGTGCACATTCATTAAAGAAGGAAAAAAAAACCTGGAAAACAAAGTTACATTTGAAATATTACCTGCAAGATAGAAAACATTTTGCTTCTTTCATTGCATTAGCATTTTTTAACATTGACTAGATGACTTATTTCTGCTTAAGGGACAATAACCCATTGCCAACAGGTCAATTTCAACTCATCGTGATCCTATTGGGGTAGCTATAAGGTTTTCTACTCTCATAGTTAGTTAGTCTTGGACACCCCCAGGACTCGGAATGAATTCAATAGCTATGAGTTTGGTTTGCATATAGGGCAGAGCAGAACTGCTCCTTAGGGCTTTTGAGACTATAAATCCGGGAGCAGAAAGCCTCATCTCTCTCTTAGAACAGGGGCTTCTAAAAGGTGCAATATAGTGCCTGTAAAACCAGGGAAACTAAGAAATAAGCTACTTTTGATAGACCCATTCTACTGTAAATTTAAGAAGACTTAATTAAGTTATCAGAGCTCTTAGGTAAAAGCTTAAATTAGTTTATAGATTATCCCATTCCAACACTGCATCCAAACATATCAGTAATGTTACTACAAATCTGATAATAGCAGTTAAGATTTTGAGGGGTCCCCCACCTCCATACACACAAAAAGGCATTCAAATCACTCCCATCCCATTTCTTTCTCTCGCTCTTAGCAAATTGGAGGTCAATTTTAATTAATCAAAATACAAATACAATTAATTATGATCAAACCAGGCATGCCAAGGAGCCATTTAGCGCTCATCTGGTCCTCAGCCAGAAGATGGTTACTACTAGAGCCACTACTGACAGCCTATTTTGGGTGGGTGTTTATACTGTAATATTTCTTGCCTGAAAAAGTAAACCATAAATTTTAAACTTCTCATTCTTAACTAAACCTTAAAAGGAAAATAATTCAAAGACTGTTAACTGTAACAACATTTAACTAAAGGTGTCTTTTTTAGCTAAAAGAACTCTAAATACTTTCTGGATTGGTTGGGATTGCTGAAATATGGGGTACAAGTGTTTACTTTGTTATGTCCTTTGAAAAAGAAGTATTCCCAGGAATTAAAAACATCAATGGGCTAAAAGATCTCAATGCTTCTATTAGTCTTTGGATTCCTGGTGCCTAGCATATAATGGAAGTCCAATAAATGGCTACTTATTATAACTATAGTTCTTGGGGAAAAGAAGACTAAATGAAAGAATAAGGCTAACCCAAACAGAAAGGCTGTAGAGCAGGGTTCCAGAACATTCATCACCTGGGCCATATCAAGCCTTTGAAATCATCAATACCAGCTAACATCAGACATTACACCAAAGAGAAGAATTCCAGCCCTCACATTAAGAGTGAGTTTAATTAAATGTTTGAGCAGTATGGCCTGTAAATGATGTTAAAATATCAAAACAGCTCTTGGCAGAAAAAAGGTTCCCCATCCCTAGACATTTTTGTTTTGTAAAGTTCTGATTTTAAAAGTTTGTCTTCTAAGAGCTAAATAAGGTTTCTATTCAATCTAGAAAACAACAATTAACCAATAATTTATTGGCAACATTTAGGAAGGAGAAATAAAAGTGATCTTCAGCAATGATACTCAGTGCGTGTCCTTAGAACAGTAACATCACCCAGACTGTCTACAAAGGCAAATTTTCAGTCCCTATCCTAAATCCACTGAAATCAAACTCTGCAGGTTTAAACTTGCTGATCATGATTTTTAAAAAATTTTTTTAAAAACAAGTCCCATGTTTTATAACAAGTCCTCCAGGCGACTGTGACTGGAGCTTAACTCTGAGAACCAGTTACCTATAAAATCAAGATCAACACTTGTTTGGAAGAAATAAATTTCAATTACATAAGAAATATTGATAGAGAAGGTAGAGCAGGAAAAAATGTAGTTTAGGCTCAATCAAAATTATAAAATGAAAATAGATAAATTCTCAAATTAAACCCCAATGTTTTCATGTCTCCTCAATTAACTATACTATTATCTTCTCAACCTACTATTTTTGGTCCTATCAAATTTAAGGCATGTTCATTCATTCTTTGAGCTAACTTGATGTGTTTATTCAATACATATATTTTTTAAAATCTACCATAGGTTAAGCAATAGTATAGTCAATATTCAAAAAACTTTGATCTAAAATTTTTAAACTAAAGTTTTGCTTCATGTATCATGCTATCTGAAAAGACAATAAGGTTTCTTTATTCACTCACGCTAACTTCATTCACACCTCCAACTTTAAATACACATGTATTTTCCTGCTCCCTTGCCCCAACAACCAGACCTCTTCAAATTGTTAGAATATGGGTCACAAATGAGGATAAAAACCTTCATGGGGAGAAAAAGCTGCATCACTAAGATCAGTGAGCAAACTTGGAAAAACAGAATGGAGTCAACAGGAGGTAATGCTTAGAAACTATAAAAAAATATCAAATTCATTTAAAAAAAAGTTGAGCCACTGTTACAAGCCAAAAAACAGATATAACTCAAGGGCATTTTGATTTCACCAGCTTCCACAAATGCACACTGTATGATTCCATCTATGTAAAGTTCAAACACAAGCAAAACAGTGGTGGTAGAAGTCATCATTTTGGTTACTCAGGAGAGAGATAGCTACTAATTAGAAAGGAGTAGGAGAAAATCTTCTAAGGTGATAGCAATGTTCTTATCTTGAACTTGTTGCATATAACAGAAACACTAAAGGTTCATCTATTATCGCCTGTAAATTATACTTGAATTTAAAAAAAATCATGATCAGCAAATGTTAGCTAAAGGGCACTTAACTAAGATTAGTTCTTCACTGTATGTTGTTACACGCCAATTAAAACAAATGTTACCTAAAGCCAGACCCTATAATCATTTTCTATACACAAGGTCATTTAATCCATATAGTCCCATTACAAAGCACACACACACACACACACACACACACTCCCCCCTAATTACCCTACAACAGAATAGAACTGCCTTTGTGCGTTCCCCCTCACTATGGGGAGCAACATGGGCATCATCTTTTTCCTGTGAAGCCGATGATGAGTTGGAACTGTTCACCTTGTGGTTTGCAGCCCAACGTAGAACCATCATGCCACGATGGTTCCAGGCAATCCACTAGGTGGATACTATTCTGATTTCTATTTGTTGTTTTTCTTGTGAGGTGCCATCGAGCGTCGCCATAGCGACCTTCTCCACAGGTGGCTGAAATTTAAAATCTTTCAATCCATTAGAAGCCAATACTTTGTAATGTACAATAAATGTGTACATTGCAATGAAATATGATTATACTATTACTGTCGTGGAGTAAAAAATTTCCTAGTATGTTTCTTCTATCCACATCTCTGCACCTCCCATCAAATCAATGGATGAGATTATGCAAACAAGTCATGTGTAACAGTATTTAACAGAAGTTCAGTTTAGTTGCCACTCTCCTGGCTATAAGGATGAACTATCTTGAGGAAAGAGAAATCTCAGAACCATCAGAAGAGCCACAGAGTACATCTGATATTATTTTCTGAAGTGGCAGAGACTGAGATCACAAGCAACAGGCAGACCAAGAGACAGATCAAAGTAGCTTGGCTGAGACCAGAGGCCATGGCAAAGACACCATGAGACAGAATAGGGGAGCAGTACATTTGGCTGCTGCACATACAAGACTGAGGCAAAGCAGTGGGTTAGCTTCCTGGACCACAAGAGCAAAAGCCAAGGGGCCAAGTGGCTGAAAGACTGAGGATTGGAGAAACACTAGGCTACTGGGTAAGGAGAGGTGTTGCAATGGACCAATGTCTAGATCTTTAATGTTTTTGGACCTGGGCTTGTGGTGACCTACTGACTTCCCCAATAACCCCCCCTCCTCAGCCCCCACCCACACATACTTTGATCATGCGTATTGTCTGTGACTTTTATGTAGCCACTGTAATTAATAAAGAACCCAGCAGAAAAGTAAAGTTTCGTGGGAGAAACAATTGGTGTCAGAATAGGGTGAAGAAGGAAGGAGGGTGGAGGATGTCTAACCTCTGCCTCATAGCAATAGGGAAGCCAGAGAAAGTCAGATATGACTCTCTGTGCCCTTTTCTCAATTACACCCCTATAATAATATAATATCTTATTTTTGTGAAGGTCATTTACTAAAAAGGGGGGAGAGAAACACCCGAACTACATGTCCACATTATTTTACTAATTCAATAAATATAAAATTACTCTATCAAATTTCTATAAACAAAAATTTAGAAATCCACTGCTGTAAGTTGATTCTGACTCATAGTGGTCCTATATTAGAAAGGGGCCTTTTCTATCAGGTTTCCATAGCTGAAATCTTTATGAAGCTGACGGTCACATCTTTCTGGCTAGTCATGGTGAGTAGATTCAAACTGCAGACCTGTCAATAAGTAGCCATGCATTTTAACCACTGTGCCATTGGGGTTCCTTTTAAATTACTATAAAAGACTCTAAAATCTTAGCTAGATTTCTGTGTACTTAATCCACTGATTTTTGTGATGAATCACAGGCTAAAAACAAAAAATTCATACTTTGAGAAACCCTTTTTTGGATAAGTGCCCTCTATAACAAGATATTCAAATTTAAAATAACAATTTATAAACTATCAAGGGCT